CGTCAGGGCCATGAAATCAAGGTTCTCATTCAGGAACAAGTCACTCAAAAAGCATGCCTTGTTCGCTATGAAACGTGCATTTAGTAGACCAAAACGCATTGGCTGTGCACGCCCGGCTGGAGATGCACGCAGACCGGTATGGCACCTCGGCGCAGCCCAGGTGATTTCCTCCACAGCGACGGCTCGTAGGACGCACTGGAAAGGACCGATCAGACTGCAACAGGAGTGCGGAACCGTTGGCTGGTGTCGCGCGAGTTGACTCCCAAGTCAGGCCTTGGACGGGAATCTGCCGTAAGCAATGCTGTTCGTCAACAGCACTGGACCCGGCCACCCAGGATGTGTATCCCCTCTGCGTCCTCCTCCTGGATTGTACACCAGCCCGTGAACCCCTCTTCCTTCTCCTGCCACGACGCTTCGCTATCAGAAAGTACTCGGGAGATGACGAGGCACATTCAAAAGGTGGAGGGAAAAACTCCTCATACCTGTGCCAGGTAACACACACTTTCTTCATGTGCTCCTTAATGCCAAAAAGCGCATGACGATCATAGCGAATGACGGCTGAGACACAATTTTTGGTTCACAGGCACGATATAGCAACATGTAAGTAAGCTATTAACTAGCTAGTAACTATTAGAGTAAGTAAGCGACCGAACAGAGAGGCAGTGGACGCAAAGCCAAACACAGGCGCCAGCTTCCTGCCTCTAGGAGGAAAAAGGTCCAGAGGCCTGGGATTGGACCAACAAGGTGCACAAAAATACATATTCCTCGGGCAGACGGGGCCGCTCAGGAGGACGGCCCAGAGGCTGGCTGGGCAGACGGGGCCGCTCAGGAGAACGGCCCAGAGGCTGGCCGAGCAGACAGGGCCACTCAGGATGACGGCTGCGGAACCACAGAGGTGGTTGAACCGGAGGTCAGCAGCAGAACCCATCAGGGGGCTGGCAACGGATGAGACCCTCGGGCGGTCGGGCTGGAGACCGGCGGTGGAACCTATCAGGAGGCCGGCAATGGACGAGACAGAAATCCTCGGACGGTTGGGCTGGGGGCCGGCGATGAAAAAGGTGGCACCCCTCAGGAGGCCAGACAGGGACCCGGAGACAAAGGAGATGGGTTCCCATGGGAGGCCAGGTTGGAGCCCGGAGACAAAGAAGACAGGGTCCCTCGGGAGGCCGGGCTGTAGCGTGGAGACGAAGGAGACGGGGTCCCTCGGGAGGCTGGCGACGGCATAGGCAGGATCCCACTGGAGACCGGACTCAGGCTAGGAACCAGCGAAGGCGGAGCCCCTCTGGAGCAGGGGATGCCAATGCAGGCTGAGGTTTAGAAGCATGAGAAGCTGGGGCAGTCTGCTGGCCAGGGGGATTGGGATCCAACTCAGGCAGATCCCAGCATCCAGAGCCGGTAGAGACGGCATCAATCCACCCGGAAACACGATGAGATGTGGCATCGACCCACTTAGGAACAGTAACAGGAACAGAGATGGCACCAACCCACTGGAGAACACGAACAGAGGCGGCGTCGACCCACTCAAGAACAGGAACAGGATCTGAGGCAGTCAACCCCCTCGGGAACAGGAACAGGATCAGGTGAGACTGTGTCGACCCGCTCGGGAACAGGAACTGAGACGGAAACGACCTGCTCGAGAACAGGAACAGGATCTGAGGCAGTGTCGACCCACTTGGGAACAGGAACAGGATCTGAGGCGGCGTCGACCCCCTCGGGAACAGGAACTGAGATGGCGTTGACCTGCTGGAGACCATGTACAGAGGCAGCGTCGACCTGCTGGAGACCACGAACAGAGGCGGCGCCAACCTGCTGGAGACCACGAACGGAGGCGGCGTCGACCCGCTGGAGACCACGAACAGGATCTGAGGCGGCGTTGACCCGATTGGGAACAGGCAGAGAATTAGCGTCGACCCCCTCGGGAACAGGAACAGGATCAGCTGAGACAGCGTCGACCTGCTCGCGAACAGGAACAGGAGAGACGGCATCGACCCGCTCAGAAACAGGAACTGAGATGGACCAGTGTGGTTGGACCGGTGTGGTTGGACCGGCGGCACCTCAGTGACGCCCTGCGACAGGATCTGTGCGCTGGGGAGTGGCGAGGTCAGTGCGCTGGGGAGCGGCGAGGTCTGATGTTGCCGGGAGCCACGCATTTTCCAGGAAGTGGCTCCTTAGAGTCATATGGAGCAGGTTCAGGGTTGCCGACAGGCTGCAGGCTCACCACGCCCACCCTGCAGTCAGTGGGCTCCGGACCTGCAGGCAAGCCGGCTGGCTGGGAGACCGGGGGGGCCAATAAAATCAAAAAGAAAAGCAGGTAGCGACCTCCACAGTCAGGGATTTTGTGCTGCTACATCGACGGCTATGTCCACATATACTTGTTTCAGGCTGGGGTTTTCAGCTCCTGTCCATGGTCCGAAAAGACTAAATAAGGAAACGATTCCCTTATCGTCAAAAGGGTTCAAGTTGGGGAAGACCATACTGTCACAAATAGGGAAAAAGACTAGAAAAACGTTAAAAAAATATATAGAAAAACACAATGGAGGGAGCTGCGGACAGTGTATGGTCTGGCTTGTTTAATGATGGTTCGGCTGAGTGCTTCTGCTGGGTCAGAGTGGCCTGAGTGTTGTGTCAGGGATTAGTTAGGCTGCTTGACCCAAGTGCAGAAACAGCACTCAGGACCGGTGGAATTAGAGAAATGAGGTTTATTGCAAAAACTGAAAGTCCAATGATGGAGTTGAAAACAAGGCAGGGTGTGAGGGTCCTAGACTTTGTTCACTGGGTTTTTGTCTGTCTCTGTGTTTGGGTGGGTGTGTCTCTGTTCACTGCAGGCTGGGCGGAGCCGATCAGGGGAGATCGCTGGCAGCTGTGGCTCATCGGCTCATCAGCTGT